TGTGCTTTCCCGCTCCCTCTGTCTCACTCGTTCAGCCATAAGATCCGAATTGTGAAGAATCAATTAAGCAGCTGATATCCCCATTTGTACTCAATGTTTAGAGAAACTTTACATTTCCTCTTCGAGACCGTGGGTTGCAACACAAGTTACTTACACACTGCGGAAGAAATGCTTAAGTGAGAGTTGACAATGCTGGTTTTCATTTCAAACAATCCCGAATCCCCCCTTGGCTGGCACACGCGAAAAGCGCCAGGCAAATGTTTAGCTCACATCATGCAAATGACTGGCCATAGATTTATTTGACAAACAGTTGAGCAGACAGCCCTGTACTGCACTCACTTGTACCCCACACAACCCCAGGAGCCAGGAGAATTTTGCTGGCAGGAACAAGAGCAGAATGAAACCCAAACACTGTGGTTCATGGGTTGAGCCATTCGCTCTTGGCCACTGGCCAAGCTGACAGCCACATTTAAATAAGCCACCTGCTGAGTAGGGAGTTTAAAGAGCTAAGTGCTGGGGGAGCTTTAGCTGAAGAGTATATTGAACTTCTGCAATAAGGCGTGAAGTGAAAGGACTGCAGTGACAAGGAGTACTAAAGGCCATATTATGGTTCTGACCTCTTGTTCTAGGTCAGATACAGAACAGTTTTGGGCATTCTCTGCTTCCTCGCCTATGCTACCTAAAATGCATCACAGAGAAACTCTGTCCAAGGAACACCATTACATACGTGTCCCAGGAAGTGAACTATACACAGCAGATGCTCAAATTTCTTTTCACTATCTCTAATAATGCTGTATTAGAGATCAGAAATTGGGTATCAGATTAGATACTGGAAAGAAATTCTTCCCTGTGAGGGTGCTGAGGCGCTGGCACAGGGTGCCCAGAGAAGATGTGGCTGCCCCATCCCTGGCAGTGTTCAAGGCCAGGTTGGACACAGGGGCTTGGAGCAAGCTGCTCACTAGAGGGTCCCTAGGAAGGGGTCAGGAAGGTGTCCCTGCCTGTGGCAGCGGTTGGAGCTGGATAAGCATTAAAGTCCCTTCCAACCCAAACTATTCTATGATTCTATAAAACAGGTATGCTTGTGCAGAACATGTTAATTCCCTCTGGTTAGCTATTATTATAATTTTACTATCCAGAACTGTATTAGCTGTGTCAGAGGCAGAAGTCCTTTCCCAGGAAAGCCAGGGATCCCTCTCTTCCCATGCACTACCTCACCACTAGGCCTTGTCCAAGTCACCTCATGATCTTGATTTGGTTCTCACCCACCTTGTCAATTTTCAAAGCTGTCTCTAAGCACCGAGATGCTGGAAGAGGACCACACTCTTTCTGCTGCTGATTATGTGTGAAAAAATAACAACTTCCTGCTATGACCAATCCAGTGACAAAAACCTCTCCAATGAGAGAGACCAAACAAAGTGACAGGAAGGTGAGCAATTCTGCTGTTCCAGCCTGTAACAGCAGCAGGTTGCAAAAGTGTTATTTGGCTCTTTCTTAGCCCCAGATTGTTCACATCAAATGTGAGTTACAGCTGCAAAGACCCCTGGCAGAGAGGCTTACTCAGCTCAGCCCCTCCAGCACTCAGGCTCTTAAACTACATTGCTTTCCCTCTCAGCTTCAGAGGGTACACCTGATGCATTACATCCATGCAGGTAATTCAAATAGATACCCACACTCTTTCCTCGTTCCCAGTACTACTGTTTAACTTTTCCCCTTCTCAGTCTCTGCTCAGCAAGCCCATGTATGCCATTCTACCAGTGGAAGCTACCAGTTTATTTTTGATTTCTTTACCCTCAAGCTGTCACACAAATGCCTTCTGAACTGGTGACATGGAGGTTGCCATGTCAAGTTCAGCAGCTGACTCACAGGCCATTACTCATGCAACTGCCATTCTGCTTTTAACCTCCCCAGCCTGTGTTTAAAACCAAGTATCCCCTCAGCTACTCTGCTAGGAAACGCTTTAGGAACATAATTCAAGTAAAAGATGTTATTTTCAGTGTGGAAAACCTGCTAGTTAGATATAGTACATGACAAACAAATAATTTTAGCAGCAAAGGACTTGAACACTCATTACAGTGTAATATGTCATGGCACTGCTCCATGCTATGGGCAATTAAGGGTTAATGGTGTGTCAATTAAAAAGATACAGCCAAAAGATCTAAGAAATACTCTCTGTGTGTCACAGAAGGTCCCGCTCTCCAAAGTGGTTCTGCAAGTGCTGTCCAGGAGAGATCTGAACATCAGGTCATGTGTTTCTGGTCACAGATCCTGCCCCGACAGTAGGAATGATGTGCCCAGCACTCACCATATTGTGCTGTTTGCCCTTTGCTTAACAGGCAGAACAACAGAGATCAGTAGAGGCTGCTTTACCATAACACATGCTGTGGTAGTGTTACCTCACACAGGACCACAGGAGGCTCAGAGACTACAGAAGTAACCTGCAAGCTATCTGTGCATACACAGCCCCCTGAGCAGTGCCTCATTGCCAATCCACATGCACACCCAGCATCTTCCTTTGCCCTTAGCTGCTTCTTGATGCAATCAGAGAAATACACTAAAACATACAACTGCAGACCAGAGGTCTGAGGTTGAAATGTCTGTGTCTGGGTGTTTGGCTCCAAAGGGTATTTCAGCCTGACAGAACTGTAGAAATTTCAAGTTCAATTTTCCCCCTATCTCAACACTGGATACCTGATCCTTTGTGCACATGCACATACCTGCCCTTGGTACAGAAGGTTTCCTTTCTACTGTAGAGACCTCAGTTCAAGCTCTGAGTTCAGTTTTTATTCTCCTCCACACCGAGTACCTGCTCCTTCATGCACATGCACACACCTGCCCCTTGTACAGGTTTCCTTTTTGTTTGTTTTTAACTACCCTTTTTACAGGAGAACAATCAATCACTTCTCCCTCTTCCTAGTCATGTCCCTATTACAGCAGATCCTGTTCCAATAAATGATTAGTATGTGCAGAATGCATTAAAATGAATTATAATAGCAATCTGATCCCCAGTACCTCAGCAGAACCTTTCCATCACAGGTGACAGCCTGGCTCCCCTGGGCTTAGCTCTGGAGAGAGAGCACCAGACCTCAAAACTCAATCCAGTAACTTTCTATGAACCAAGTTCCAAGTACATGGAGCATGCAGCTCTTCCATTGTCTCCAAGCTAGGAAAGCTGTACCTCAAAGGCTATTCAAGAAGCTGGTACACACAACCTCATCTCAAATAAGTGTAAATGCAGTTTTCCATATATTATGTGATTACAGCCTCTCCCTACCTATGGTGCTATGTTTTATTACAGGCCACCAAAAATAATTAGTTGGTGACCCAGAAAACTGATATATAAAATCCTTTTAATCACCAATATGGCTTTCAATTATATAGTGTAAACTTATTAACCTTTTTACTGCTGAGATTTGATTTATGGAATTCCAGCTGCATTAACATTACAGGAGGATATAGAAAGTGTCTTGTATGACACACTGGGATTAACAACTGATAGCTGGCTTTGCTATCACAGAGCAAAGGCAGCATCCTGCGAGTCCCCGGGGGCTCATTGCTATCAGAGCTATGTGAAAAGTTTGGTCTGTGGAGTGAGGCTGTGTAATTCCTGTCACTTCCTATACAAACCAGAACACACAGGCCAGTTCTGGCTTTCAGAAGGAGCAGGGGTTGTGTGAGCACTTGCTGCATTAATAAACAGAAAGGGCAAAGGTAGGGCTGCATTTGTACCTCTCCTCACTCACATGACCAGAAATACTTGTATATTGAATGGAGACACTTTGGGGAATTCTCTTGCACAGGAATCCTTAACAGCAGGTTTATTCAAACAAAGGTTGAATGCAAAGAGAAGGGCTATTTGTGAGGGTGCATTTATAAAAACTGATTTTCAACTATGTTCTTTACTCATTTTCATGGAACAGGTATTTTCCCTATTTAGAGGGAAATTTAGTGGATTTCCCCTTCCACCTCTGGCACTCAGAAAGTTTCCAGAAACTTAAAGATTGGTGTAAGAGGGTTTGTTCACTTTGTCCTACTAGAGAAGTGCATTTAGTGCTTTGCACAAGGTCTCAGACATTCCTGGTCATCTTCCATGAGACTATGTTTCTAATGCAGAGATCAGCAAGAGAGATAAACAGGCTACAGTGAAGCCCTAATTAAAATCCAAATTACTAATCTGAACTAGATGATACATCAAGATCCAATAAAGGATACAGGAATCCATGGTAAATACTACCATACAAGACTTGATTGAATCAGCCAAGGATGAAAAGACCTGTATTTCCAGCCTCCACGTCATTCCATTCAAGTCTCAGGAATATACACAGAAATAATGAATCTTGCCATACCTTCCATCCACAGTTCCCCTCATATTTTTGGCAGCTCATTATTTGCTGTTCAATGGCAATAAAATAGAATAGCAGTGTTCTACAAGATCATTTCTGCTGTGAACACCTAACTGCCTCTTTTACAGTCTCAGGAGGATCAAAATAATGAATAGATTTAGGTCAAATTTTGCAAGTAAATATCAGTTTTCAATTTCCAAACCTAACCTTTTTTCAACCTTACAAACCCCGTTACAGTTAGCCTGTTTTTCAGGAATTTTTTATGTGTACAAGCATCCCCCAATGACACAAAACAGCATGGTGAAATAGCCATAAACTGAAGCAAACCTTCATCATTCACTTAGGGCTTTTTGTTCAAACTTAATAAGTTGTGACAGACACAGAGAAGAGACTATGCGGGCAGATGCTTTGATAACATGTGCAAAAGCCATCATCTTTATAGAAAGGAAATGCCAACATTTGCCATCATCTTTCTCAGGATTAAATGTTACTGAATGAGATACATTTTCCCATGTAGGCACTGTCTTGCCTGCACAATGCACAGCCTGGTTCCCTCTGGGCAGTTCTCAGGTCACTGTTTCTTTAGCAGATACAGGTTTGGAATGGCACCCCGCAACCCACACACTGGACAAAGACCCCTAAAGCCCCATTGGGCCATACCTGGACAGCCAGCAGATTCATTCCCAGCTCTGCTTTGAGATGTCCTTCTCCACAAGCTGAGATTTCTGGTACAGCACAACAGGATGCGTTACGGCCATCCAACTCACGCCAGCTCCTCCAAGGGCTAATAAGGCCCATCACAGAGATAGGAAGGTTTCTAAGCACATTCTATGAAACAAGGAGAATAAAAATCAATGGCACTGCATAATCCAGTCAGTGCTTTCCTTTGCTCACAAATCTTCATTTGTTCAGCTGGGAAAATTATGAACAATCTAGAAATAAGACAGTAAAGGCAGTCAATGACAATTGTAACATAAAAACTAATAGAGAAGGTGGCATGAATATGGTATATTCAGTTCTGCTGAAACTCATTTATAATTTTTAATAAAAATAGTAACACTTTACAATAAGTGGACATCATTTAATGCTCAATTACGATGAAATTCCTTTGGCAATATATATTAAATGCAGCAACTCTGTATTTATACCAGGAGGGTTCCTCAAGATTGATGTTACTGCAGTGAATACTAGGAGAATGTCAAGTCCAACACCAGTGCATTCAATATTCTTGCCCTCCAGGTCAGATATCCTTTCCTCCCCCACCCTGACATTTGAGACAAGTCCTTATCTGTGTGGAGAGAACCACATGAATTATATATTATATAAAAAAGGAATCTGCAACACAGGCTGCAAGGCCTTTAGCAATGATTAACTGAGACATTTTGAATAACACCACAAAAAGGTACAGCTCCTAAACAGGCAGTTTTTTCTTGGAGGCCAAGAGGTTTTTAAACCCCTACATTAATAAAACAAGCATTATTTCAGATAAAGCACAGAACCTTTACAGCAGAGCCAACTTCAACTTACTGAAGATTTCTCTTTGCAAGAAAAACACCATGAACCTTTATCCTCTACTTGCAACAGCTCTTATGCTGTAACATCCTTAGCCCTACCTTCCATCAGAGGTCACCATGTAGATCTGAGCCCTTAAACTTGCTCAGCACAGGTGGGATCAGTTACCCTGAAAAGCAAAGCAGGCTCTCCCTATCTCCTACAGGTGCCTACCCCTATACTTTTAGCCACAGATTTTAGCACTGTGACTCCACACTGCTCTTCCCTGGCAGGCCGTGGGAGAATTTGTTTGTTTCCTTTCACAAATACATCTGAGACAATGGGATGTGATCAGTGAAGCAGCAAATTGAACCCTACCAGGGTATGGCTGGACCTTCCTGAAGCAGCCTTAAAACACAGGTTCTCATATTTTGTTAAGCTTCAATCTCTACTGGGGGTGGACTGGATTTGGTTTAGGAAATGCAGCTTGGGAAGCTGAATCTGAGACCATACTTTTCCCCTAGATGTATCTGCAGCCAGGGCTCTTATCTGAATGTAACTCCTAATGTAACCTGGTACACAAAATCTGTCACTTGAGGATGGCAATTAACTGGCTTCCATGGGGTGAGTGTGCTGCCATTTGGGGTGCTGTCTTGCTTGTTTCACTGTGAAGACTAACAGAATTAGAGAAAGTTTGAAAGATGCCAGGTACATGTCACCAGAGCCTTCAGTCTGCAACACTGCCAGGATCCAAAGACAAATCTGAAGGAGTATGTCTCTTCCCAAAAAAGAAATACTACCAAGAGCTACTCAGCAGCTTAGGAAAAAGAAACACCAGTTGGAGGTAGGGGGGCATCCTAAGTGCTCGCTAGAACTAGCATCATTCCATTTCATCTTAAATCATGTTCTGCATCCTCTGCTGGAGCAGTACTTATCCCAGACCTCCGGGCAGCTCAGACACCTGGCATAATAGCTCATTAATTACTTCAGCATGGCAAATAAATTTTAATATCTTCTTGATCCTCATTGCTAAACACTTCACGCATTCCCAAATACACATTGACGATTCATTCTTCTTCATCTTAGATACAACAGGCTTTATTTTACAGTTTGACTTTAATCAACGTCTCCCTCAACTGTGGGTGGCACGTGATAATGTTACATCCTCCTCTGGGGTCACCAGTTCATTTAAGAACTCAGGACAAGTATTCATATTTTGCTGCACTCATGTTCTCATCCTGTTAAAGGTGATTACAACATCAAGTTTTGTCCAGTGTTTCGGCATGTGAACAGGAAAGGTGGCATGAGGTCTAATGGTAGCAGGTCAGCACTTTCAATAAGCATCCATCTGTAAACAAGCCCCTTAAAATATTGCAGCAGAGGGAAAGGCAACTGCATCTTAATTGGGCAGAGTGAAAAGTCACAGGGCTTATAAATACAATGTGGAGGTGATCTGTCTTGCCAAAAAAGAGGAGGTTCGTTACATGAAGGACACATTATCCTTTCCTCTTCCTATGATTCAGCATGGTAAGTAGTCATTCCTAATTGGCTTACAGCTTAGTATGAAATATTGGGATGCCACACAATGTGATGACACAGCTGGATTCCTAAGGGAAGCTGAAGAGTGATCTGAGAACAGAAGAGGGACAAGAGCAGATGGGGGTCTGGAAAAAAGAATAGTTGTAGCTCGCAGAGTAGCATGTCATTCTTTATCCCCCTCCTCCTGTGTACAGCATGCTGTGTACAGCACACCACTCTCCTGGTTGAAAAGCAAGAGACTTGTCATTTCAAAGTTCTTAAATAAAACGTGGGGACAAAAGCATGATTGCTGGAAGTATTGAAACAGGAAGAGACAAGCAGGCTGACTAAATCTGGGCAATAGCTGCAAAATACACTGCACAAATTTCACCTCTCTTTGTGTATCCAATGATGATTTCCTCAAATTTATTCTTGACTGGAAAGGATTTGCCAAATTACCCAGTCAAACAATCTGGGGGTCACTCACAGAAGCCCAGCATTCGGAAGATAAGCCATTTGAGTGGATACCCAGGTCATATGCTGGGAACTTGTTTCCTTGTCCTGGCCTTGATTCAGGAAGGTAATTAAACAGCTGCCTACCTGGAGTCAGTAGGGCTATTCACATGCACTTAAGTGCTGCTGACGCCAGGCTGAGGGGAATAGACTTCTCAGGGGGAGATTTTTGCGGCAAATACTAGTGCTAATTCAAAATTCACTTTCTACAAAGTCCTTCTCCTGCAGTCAGCTGAAATCAGCTATATCCACTGTTGTGCTTGCCAGGAAACTTGATAGAATGTTGCCCAAAGTGAACATAAACGACAAATAAACACAGCAGAAATTAATAACAGGAGTTCAGACCAGTAGGTTGCAGAAGATGTGTTATAAATTTCATCCAGCTGTAATGCAAATTCTGCCAAATGATTGGGAACATCTACCTTTTTATATCACTGTTTCACTACATATTAATAGCAACCAGTTACTGATGCAGTACTAAAATATTAATGATATGGTCATAAACCTGAATCAGTGCCTAACTTGGCAGAACAACGGAGGGCAACTTTTCAATCACGTGTGAACAAAACCAGTTTTCAGAAACCATTTTGTTCCTGTGAGACCATGTGAGTAGAAGTAATTGCAGGGCTATTTTAGGCCCCCAGATTGTTCTTCCTTGGAAAATCAACAGCCCCTTTGAGGTGTGCAGTATGGGTGCCCAGGTATTTATGCAAGGCTGAGAGAATCTCAAAGCAGGCAGAAACAAAGTTCATGCAATTAATTAGTAAGATCTCATCTGTGATTTCATCTGCAGCTGCTATGACTGACTTTTATATGTCCATTAGAGACAATAGCCTTGAGCCCCTGGGGACTGATTGTTTCAGCAGGATTTAGCTCTTTGTTCTGGACTGAGGTGGAATACGTTCACCAAGCAAGGCAAGAAAGCCAAAGCAAAACCCCGAGCTTTTCTACCTGCCTGATATAAGCAGGTAAATTTATCAGCTCTGCATTGTAACATATGTGACCACAACAAAAATGTAGGGATATTAAAAGGACTTAAATGTTAGACACTTCCACCTTTTATATTTCCAATCTGCTCCCCAAGCCACCCTACTCAGGACAACTTCAGGTCAGCTGCCAGCTAAGGAAGGCAGCCTTTGGGATGCTTGACTGAATTTGTAAAGGAGAATCAGGTCTTGAAGTCTCCTTCCTTCTCACTTCAACTATGTTCCAACAGAACTGGCCTGGTCCATTTTATTATTCACATTTGTCCCTTTCTATCAAGATGGAGCCATATATCTAAGCTCCTTTCAAACACCTTTAATTGAAGCTACAAATTAAGGGGATTAAGGACAGACACAGAAGGATTCTGTGTACTCTGCACAATTCCCAACAGCAGCTAGCACCCCAGGAAGAGCTGAATATTGAAAGAATAGTTCATTTGTACTCTTCCACAGGACACAGCTAAAGGCTCACACTCATGGTTAGCATCACTCTCTCCTGCCCCTCACCAGGATCTAAAAGAGGTACTGTAGGAAACCCATGTACAGCTGATGTTTTACATAGGTTTACTAATACCAACCCAAGGTCTTTGCCTTAAAGGTCTTTCTCTTCTTCTTCTCTGAGTCACCGGTGCACAAATAAGCTGACTTCAATCAAAATAACTGAATTTTTCAGTTTAGAAGTGCAGAGAATGGCATGAAATTAATTATGTCACAAAAAAGAAGGGACCTTTTCTTCTGGTTTCCTATTGCAGTCACATAAATGAGGATCCAAAATACCACTGAGATATCACTTAACACTGTTAGCACATGTGAGGCGGGTCAGATCCCTGTCACAATGTCTTTATTATTCGCTAACCAGAGTTGCTGCAGTGATAATCTTTCTTCACTGTATCTGCAAGCAGATGCCATCAAGGTGCAACTAACAATCATCCCTTTCAGAGTAAGGGATCATAGGCTTCCCATTGCTCTCTCATCCACTGGCTCCTTGTTTATTAATGACAGTTAAAATTTTAGTGTTGCTTCTGCTTAGGTGGGAGATAACAAACATCTACTTGATTGACCCCTGTCCTACAACTAGTAGGTTCTCTTACAGCTCACATAACGCAGTCTTACTGCAAATCAAGTTGCCAAAACAAAGACATTTTTTGGTTTACAAGCTGGGAGAGGAGGAGAAAAACTGCCCATGTTTGGAAACTTGTTCTAGCAAGACACTGGAAATGCATTGAGCAGCATGAGAACCTCTAGCACTCATTCATTTCTGGCCTCTGAGAACCAACACGTCAGTTCCTAACAAGGTCAAGGGCAAATGTATTTTAGGGCACCTTCATACACCACAGCAATCAGCACTAGTGTAACACATGGAACACAGTTACACCTCCAAACATACCTACTCTTTGGACAAAGTCCATGGTCAGCTCAGCTTCAGTTCAACTCCAGGATCTTCTTTCTCTCTGTATTTTCTGGGACAAAGACCTATGGAGGACAATGAAGAAAGAGAAAGATAAGATTCTTTCAGACCCTCCCCCATATGTCATGCAAAATGCAGGTGCCTATAGATGGATCTGAGGAGGCTATAGGGCCTGCAGAGGTGCCATGATAAAGCTGCATCTTGAAACTGTACAGAACAGCTCCCCCAACATCTCCTACATCTAAAGTCTACTCTAAAAAACAAGAAAGAAATAGTCTCTTGGAAGAAGACAAGTCAAACATAACTCATCTCTTTATTCTTTTTCTCTCTTACCATGCTCTACAGATGATTGTTTCATCTCATTCTTCTGTTTCCAAGAAAGACCTTTCTAATTCCTCAGGCAATATTCAGAGCAGTCAGGTTTTTCTTTGAGTGTTCAAGGCTGATCTGATCAATTAGAAAAAGAAGGTTACAGTACATTTTAAACCAAATACCCCACAGGATAGAACCTCATTCTAGAAGAAAAATATTTTTTGTTAGCAAGTAAATGCAAGGAAATGGTAACAGGGATTCAGCACAACCCCCTTTCTCATGTGTCCTGTGGGATTTTCTGCATTGTTCTCTCTGTTTAAAGGGTTTAAAATACAAGGGTAAGGCTGCTGCAGTCCTGGACATGTGAGTTCTGTTCTCTGGCTGGATACAAAGCGCCACGGATCACACAAAATTCTTCCCAGCTGTTTTGCCTTCCCACATTTCTGTCCTTATTCACTCATGAAAGCTATGAATTCTCTCCAACCACAGACTTTCTCCCAGCATGTGATGTACCACAGGGCCCCACAACCTTATCTGAGGCTGTTCGGGCCCAGCTGCAATGTAAAGACTCTGCACCACTGGGACTCCCTTACAGGGTTTAGAGTCTTTCTTTGCAACAGCAAATATCGAGTGAAATACAACCACTTCCTCAAGGTGAGTGTTCCCAAAGGCCTCAGGAATCAGAGCTGACATAATGTGAAATTCGCTTCCCCCTTTACCAGCTCTGGTTAAATAAACTCATGTTCTGTACAGTAGGACACACTTCATTTGCCTCTCCCTCTTGTTGATTCCAAAAGGAGACCACATAGACCAACCATCACAGCCAATTTGATTTCCAATTTTCTGGGTAGCTTTGCAATCACACTCCATTTGTCACCTGAATGCAGTATTGAATTTGCAGCCTGGGTGTGAATGACTTCTGGAATTATCTCCCTTGGACAAGACACCAGAGCAATTCAATAGCAAGTAAACAGAATACAGAAATACCCTTGAATAGGATTATGTCAGGTTTCTAAATCCTAACCCTGTTACTTCAGCAGCTACCCATTTCTCTTCTCCTTCTTCCTTTCTGGCTAACATTTTCTTTTCCAGGACTCAGTTCAGCATCACCAAAACAATCAAATATATTCTGTAAAGTTCCTAGGACTGCATGAGCATTTAGAGCTTGGCGAGCTGTATTGTAACACCAACCACTGACCCCAAAAGCTGATGTGATCAAACACATCTCCCCATGAACGAAAGAATCAGGCCGAATCAGTTTTACCATTTTAAGGAAAATAAATCCTAATCCTCTGCTGCTCTGTGGTATTCCTCTAATTGCTGTTTCCTTACACATTCAAACATCCACAGTTTGGTTCCGTTGTTTGAACGTCACTTGGAATCAAATCAGTGTTGCAGATACAACATCTTTGAACCTTTTAGTCCAGCTGTGAACTTTGGGCTTAATCCTTTAGGGCGCCCTTGTCTAGCAAGCTTTAATGTATATTAACTTTTCTAAAAGGAGAGGAAAAGTGGTCAAAGCGAGATAGTGCAAGGTTCTGTGTTTCATAAATTAATAAGCATCACCAACTGCATTGCTTGACCCTTTAAACTCTGTGAAATTAATATAAGTAGACAACCAAAGTGCACTTGGCCCCTGAAGAGCCTTGGAAGTTCACTTAAGCAATCCAAGTTTCCTTAAAGTTTTATAAGCCAGCTTTTAAAGCAAGTCCTTTGTACTTATTACTGGTGACAGTGAGCATTACAACAGCCAATGAACCTTTGCTGACTCCCGACCCCAATATGGTAGAGCACAGTTATCAAGGGAAATATCAGAATCAAAGCTTGTATATTACATTGAGGTCCTGACTCTTGAAAGAGCCCCCCATAGACTCTTCAGAGGATGTCAGTGAAATAAACGGCTAATATTCCCAGACATCTACTTATGATGTAAGGATGGTAGTGTTTACTTAAGCCCTTTTGGCATAGTATCACCACCCCACCACCCCCAACAAAACCTGAAGCCTATTAGGGAAGCAAGCTGTGGTACTCTCAGGTCCCTTGCAAGAAGATGAAACTTAAAGATCTTTTCTTTAGCCTGGAAAACCCTTCACTTGGCAGTGGTGAGTGAAGCAATGCTCAGTCTTCATCTTCACCGATTAATGGATTTAAATTATTAAGTGGCATTAGGTAGGCATGGTGAAGAATACAGTCTTCCCTCAGCCCTCCACACAGGGTGGGACTGCCTTGAACAGTGAAGAAAATGCATATGCACACCTCCTGTTCTTTGGCATTAATCTTGCAGTCACTTGTAATACCTGAGTTAGCGTCCTGTAGAAATAAGATACCTCACCATTGCCAGCTGATTATATTTTTCATAATGTAAAAGGTTCTTGCTGAATTATTCAGGTGTTTTCCCCACTGCTTAACAACAAAAAAAAGACACAAAAGCTAAGGCAGCCAGTGTCTGGGAATAAACAGGCTGGCGGGCAGTACTGCCCAGTATTAGTAATCAGTATTGAACTGTGAAGCCCAAATAATGATAATGTTTGACCTAAACTTTTCAAGAGGAAGAAGAATTTCCCCAAACTGGCAGGTGATGAGAGACCACAAGATTATCTGCCACAGGGCATCGAACTTCACTGGCATGTATCCTCCCAGCAGTGAAGTCAGGAGGCATGTGTTATCTCTTCTCTCCACCTGCTTACAACATTGGGTGAAGCCTTTGGGGCTATTTAATGACACTGGTTTCCATTTGTTCATCTCATTTGTTCGTCTAGATCTGGGCGCTGAGAGAGACAGTAATATCATGGCATGGAGAAGAATCCATTAACATACATCCACATTTTATACATATACCATACACAGTCATACATGAGAAATACAACTCAAAGAGAAAACAGAACTCGACTATAAGGAAATAATTGATGAAATTTCTTACCAGAAACAGAGATAATAACAAGAAGCAGCTGGAAAAATGAGGTACTTTCAAGGAATGTGGCTCACAGCTCCCATGCAAAGTGAATGCCTGGTGACAGGGTTGCAGTCCCTGCCAGGCAGATGTCTACGCTAGGAACAGTGAAGTTGATTTAGCAGCTCCCTGATTATTGAATATAAATTACTTTCTTAAAGTTTAGGGGTGCACAAATAAGTTCTAATGAGAACAAATACTGCTGGTCCAGTCCCACAAAGACAGCCAGAAATGTATCTCCAATTGATTTGCCTTGATTCATTTACTTGAGGGTGCAAGCACAATTTTCTTGTTCAGAGTTAGTTCAGATTCCTCTGTGCAGCACTTCCCAGTGATACAGACATAGACTTTGGTCCTTCCAGCCCACCAGTTGTTGAGACCATGGGTGTCTGAGGGTTAATAACTCACTGGTGATAGCCCTGGGGTTCCACCTTCCCCCTTGCAGCCATGCTCCAGCTCATCTGCCTACCAATGAAGACTATCTTCACTTCCAGCCTCCTACCTCCACAGGAGCCAAAAGGGAAAAACTTGCCTAGTCAACTGTGACCAGGACGGAAAGCAATGGCCATCATCCACTCTTAATAAGAAAAGTGTCTCCCTTCATGTGCCCATCTGCCTTGGTTTCAGTGTACATGTGCCTGAAGTAATGTGGAGCAATTCCAGCTTCACTATGTGTGAGGTGGAAATGACCTGGGGGTAACCCAGGTGATTCTTTTCCAGTAGGTAAGGGAAGGTTTATAATGGGAGAAATTGGAACTGGACCTTAACATGTCCCTAACTATTGACACTAAAGCAAAAGAGACACAGAAATAATATTGTCAAGGGGGTAAAACTTCACCCACTTGAAAAACATCTGGTACCAGCTACAAGCTCTGCCAAATAACACCTAATCTAGTTCTGCCCAGATGGGCATTCACCCCAGTGCTCCGTTCGGGCAACTTACACTGCAGCAAGCTCAAATACTGAATTACCCCCCAAAAGAAACCCCTTCGACACAAACCAAACACACTCTATAGCCCTAGAAAAAAAAAAAAAAGAGACTATTCCACAGCTCCAGAAATATTCATTTGACAGTTTCTCCTTCCTTGACTACAGCTCCAGTAATTGATCTGCTCTATTATTTTTCCCCATTCTTTCTCTTTTACATTTAAATACGTCCTTCATATTTCTGGAGCTTTTTTTTTCCCCAGCCTGTATCTCCACTGTTACATTATTTTTTATCTCTCTCCTCTATTCTTCATGTGTGAAAAGGGTGCTCTGTTCTCTAATATTCATTTTTCTTTTTTTATTCTCCAAGTACTTTCTTTCCCATCTGTAACAGCCCCTAATATGCACCTCCATTCGATTTTACCTACCCAGCTTGAAACCCTCTCATTCTAATTACCTTTTCAGTTTTCTTCTATTTCTCCCTTGAGATGTCTCAATTAGTGTACTTTTTCTTACTGGCTGTCACCTCTGAGCTACAAGGTGGGTCTAACTCCAACTTAAACCATGCAGAAAATAAATGAGGAGCTGTTCTTGGCAGCCCTGCTGAAGGTGGTGTTACTTTACAAACTAGTGCACCTTTAATAGATGATAAATGGGCAGAAAAGTGGCCTTGTTAATGCAGCAGCCCTTGATTTGGTTGCCATGCTGTGTCCTTTCATTACTCAAAGATACACGAAAGGCAACCTATGCTAAGTCCTGGGTGATGTAATTCCATACAAAGAGAGTGAGTAGAGGCTAATTAACATAGTTCTGGTCAAAGCCTGAAATTAACTCTTGTCTTTAAAGACCAAAGCTAAAAATGTCATTTGTCTTGCCCATAATTATGTTTAGAGGTAATTATGGTAGCAGGATAACAGCAAGCAAAATGAGTCTAGGAGTGGGGTTTTCTGCCCTTTCTATCTCTAGCAGAACTCTAAATTCTCTTCCTGTCAAAGAGAACTGGATAAAAATGCAGGTGACATCTACAGTACTTTTCTTTGGTTAAAATTGGCACTGTCATATCAAAGTTCACACAGAGCTTTCAGAACCTGAGGACTAAATGCTCTCTCTACATGCTCTCATATAATGGGAAAAGGAGAAGGGTCCCCACTGCAGCCTGGACTGTGCAGGGAGGGAAGATCTGTGCCAGGCTTGGACCCAAGAACCACATCCAGTGGAACATGTCCTGCCACATGCATCTGACCCAGGTTACTTCAAA